TCAGTGGTTAAAAGCACTGACTGCTCTTCCTGAGGTCAAGTTCAATTCCCAGCAACCACATGGAGGCTCACAACCACATGGAGGCTCACAACCATCTGTAATGGGATCTGATGCCCTCTTCTGGTGTGTCTGAGGACAGCTACAGTGTACTCATATACATAAAATAAATAAAATCTTTTTAAAAAGTAACCATTACACTCTTGGTAGTTACAAAGTCATATATAGCTAAACAAAGACTATTCTGAGAACTATATTGTTAGGTGAGTCTGTTAAACAAACATTATCACAGAGCTAATCAAACCTAGATGGTACAAACTACACACTGTGGTGATACTGTGTACATGTGCAAGTGCATGAATGTGCACATGTGATTCAATTAACATTTATGATCAACAAAAAATCTGAGGCTGGGGCAGCATAACAAGGCATACAGTTTTACAGTATACTTTTTCTCAATAAGTAGAAGAAGGATACTCTAAAATGACAATGAAAAAGCATAATGCACCAAATAGACCAGTAACATGATTTATTATCACTATCAAGTATTATGTATTATATGCAATTATATTCTTTTATGACTAGCAACTCTACCAACATATGAATAAAGTGCTAGACTACATCACTAAGTGACAGGAATTTTTTTTATCACATTAATACCCTGATAGGACCCCTGTCATGTACTTAGTCAGCTGACAACTGAGATATTATGTAGCTCATGATCTACTACAGTTATGTAAAACTTTTAATACTGAGGCAGGTGAGATGCTACTCATCACAAAGCATGGGAGTCTGACTCAGGCTCCCCAGCACCCACGTACAGAAGCACACATCTGTCACTCCAGCACTGCAGGGGAGATGGGGTGATGCATACATACACATAAAAACATACATGCACAACATACACAAAAACCTGTAGAAATGGAATAATGACCACCACAAACATTTTACATTACTTTCACAACTTTTTCTACTTTCAGTTAGTAGAATACTTGCCTAGCATGAATAAAGCTCTGATATCAAGATTTCAATCCCCAACACAACACAAAAACACAACAGGTGTAGTGGTTCAAGCCTGTAATCTCGGCACTCAGGAGGGGAAGGAAGAAGAATCAGAAATTTAAGGTCCTCCTCAGCTATACAGTGAATTCAAGGCCAGCTTGAAATCTTGTCTCAAAAAAAAAAAATATTGGGGCTGGAGAGATAGCACAGTGGTTGAGAGCTTCCTGTTCTTCCAAAGGACCCAAATTTGATTCCCAGGACTTATATCAAGTGTCTTGGAACTGCCTGTAACTTCAACTCCGAGAGTCTCAACACCCTCTCCTGGCCTCTTGAGGGTAACTGCACACACGTAGCACACACTCACCACACACTCACACATGCATACACACATAGAAATAAAAATAAAATGATAAATCTTTATATATACATAAAGACACTGAGAGCTATCCTAGCATGTGCAAAGCTCTGCTATTCTCAGCACTGCAGAAGTGGGAAGGAGCGGGAGAGAGAGAGGGAAGAAAGGGAGGAAAGAAGGAAAGGAGAAGGAGAAAAGAAAGAAAGGAGGAAGAAAGAAAGGGAACAAGGGATGGAGAGAAGAAAGAAAGATGAGAGGGATCAGGGTTATAACCAACAAAAACGTATAAAAAGGGAAGGATACAGATCTAACCAGTCGCTAAGTCAGTATAGTCTCCCTGGGAAAGAAAGGGCTCAAGACTAGACAGAGGTGCTACAAGGGTGCTGGTAATTACTGCTTCTGGTCTGAGACAGGTAATTAGTTATATTTATTGAAAATTCATCAACTGATATGATTATTAAATGTAGAATTTTTAAAAGTATATCACATTTCCCCCAAAGTATTTTAATTTTTTAAAAGAATCATTTTTTTATTTTATGTACATGAGTACACTGTAGCTAGCTGTCTTCAGACACACCAGAAGAGGGCATCAGATCCCATTACAGATGGTGTGAGCCTCCATGTGGTTGCTGGGAATTGAACTCAGGACCTCTGGAAAAGCAGTCAGTGCTCTTATTTGTTGAGCCATCTCTCTAGTCCCAAAGTATTTTCATTTAAAATAAATTGTTTATTTTTATTTTATGCATACTCATGTTTTGCCTGCATGTGTGTAATACCAGCAGAGGCAGAAGAAGGCATCCAATCCCCTAACTAGAGTTGTTAGCCATTGTGTTGATGCTGGGACTTGAACCTTGGTCTTCTGGAAGAACACAAGTGTTCTTTACCATTTTAAAAAAGAGTTATTTACTTTATTTTATGCATTTGGGTATTTGCTGGCATGTATGTATGTACACTATGCGCTTGCCTTTTGCCTTTGGAGGCCAGAAGAGGATGTCAAATTTCCTGGGACCAGAGTTGCAGGCAGTTGTGAACTACCATGTTGGTACTGAGAATTTAACCCAGGTCCTCTGCAAGAACAGCAAGTGCTCTTAACCACTTGTTGTGTTTCTCCAGCCTCCGCTTCAAGTATTTTTAAGATGGTTTTACCTCTAGGACCAAAGATATGAGAAAGATTTAAAATTCTTTTAATTTAAAGTATTCCAATACTAACATAACTAGTTAAAGAGACAAACCAAGGCCACTAGGCCCAGCAGAGTCCTGAAAGTAAACTTGGCCTACTACTCTCCTCATTGTGGACACCAGATCTCTGTATTTTTATTGTTTATGTTCAATGGTATTTGTCTGCAGGTCTGTCTGTGTGCAGGTGTCAGAAGCCCTGGAACTAGAGTTACAGACAGTTGTGAGCTGCCATGTGGGTGCTGGGAATTGAACTCAGGACCTCTGGAATAGCAGCCAATGTTCTTAACCACTGAGCGACCTCTCCAGCCCCTATGTTTTCAAAGAAATACAGAAATGTACACAAGATAATCAAGAGCTAAGAATAAGAGTAGACAAGATAGAGTGCCTAACTGGAGAGCTATCCAACTCCAATAAGATTCACAATCTGTGAAAACAGTGGCTAATACTGTCAAACTGACAGGATCTAGAATACCAAAGAAACAAGGCTCTGGCTAGATCTATGAAGAACTCTCTGGAGAAGGTTAACTGGGGTAGGAAGACCCATCATAACTGAGCAGCACCATCCTGAGGGTTGGAGTCCCAAACTACATAAAAGGTAAAAAGCTAGCTCTCTACTTTCTGACTACAGCTCCAACGTGACAGCTGCTTCAAGCTCTTGCTGCGGTGACTTTTCCACCATAAGACTGTGCCTCAAATAGTAAGCCAAACTAAACCTTTCCTGAAGCTGGAAAAATATCTCAGTGGTTAAGAGGATTGCTGTTCTTCCAGAGGAAGATAAGCGCCTAGCACCCACATCAAGTGGCTCATAACTCCCATAACTCCAGCTCCAGGTGAGCTGACACTCCTTTCTGACTTCTACAGGTATCCACATTCACATGGCAAAAACATAAGCACATATATACACATAAGTAAGAATAAAATAAACCTTTTTAAAAATAAAATAAATCTTTTCTTCCTTAAGTTGGTTTTGTTAGATATTTCATAACAACAACGACAATAATAAAGTACGTAAAACAGTGGGTATTACAATGTACAAACTAGAGCTGGGCCTGGTGACTCACTCTTATAATCATAGCACTCAGAGGTGGGCAGATCTCTGTGAGTTTGAGCCCAGGCTGTTGTATATAGGAAGCTCCAGGCCAGTAGGGTTACATAGTGAGACCCTATCTCAGAAAAAGAAGAAGAAAAAGAAGAAGAGGAGGAGGAGGAGGAAGAAGAGGAGGAGGAAGAGGAGGAGGAGGAAGAGGAGAAGGAGCAGAAGCAGCAGCAAACAAGAAAAAGGAAAGAGAAAAGAAGGAAGGAAGGAAGGAAGGAAGGAAGGAAGGAAGGAAGGAAGGAAGGAAGGAAGGGGAAAAAAGAAAAGTGAAGGGGCTAGAAAAATGGCTTAGTGGTTAAAGGCACTGACTGCTTTTCCAGAGGTCCTAAGTTTAATTCCCAGCAACCACATGGTGGCTCACAACCATCTGTAATGAGATCCGATGTCCCGAAGACAGCTACAGTGTACTCACATACATAAAATAAATAAATAAATCTTAAGAAAGAGAGGGGTGGAGGTAAGGGAGGGAAGGAGGGAGGGAAGAAGGAAGGAAGGAAGGAAGGAAGGAAGGAAGGAAGGAAAGAAGAGAGGGAGGGAAAGGAAAGGAGAAAGAAGGCTTCGGATTTTACACATAAGAACTTCACTAAAAATAGGTTGGTTATTCAAAAAAGATACATATTAATTATAAATTCATCCAAGTGGCTACCAGTATAACAGTAATGGGGTCCGGGTGGGAGGGAGAAACCATTACTATGTATGCCTACCGCTGTAGGAATCCTAAGGACTAGATGTCAAACCAAGAATTCCTCTTCCTGTAATAGAAACAAAGCCTGAAAGCTGTGAGACAGGTCAAACAGTAAAGTGCTTACCATGTAAACATGGGCCCTGAGCTAGATCCTCAGACCCACATGGAAGGGCCAGGTGCAGTGGCATGTGCATACAACCCCAGCACCAGAAGGCAGCTTAGTCAAGTCAGTGAGCTCCCAGTTTAGTGAGAGACAGACTCAAAAAATAAACTGAAAAATGACTGAAGAAGACACTTGATACTCACCTCTGGCTTCTACATTCCTGTGTGCACATACATGCGCCAGCCCCTGCATGGGCACGTACACATGAATACATATATCCAAAAACTCAGAAAATGTTTTCACCCAAGAACAATATGATTAAATTCATTCTTCGTACGTAAGTATGTATGTATATATGTATGTATGTATTTAAAAATAAGGTCTTACTATGTCACCCAGTCTAACTTATAGCCTCAAAATTCCTATGTAGCCCAGGGTGACATGACTCCTACTTCAGTGTCCTGAATGGTGGGAAAACAAGCTTCAAATTCTTCTTTGTACAATGAATTTATTATATACACATATGTTTATATGAATGTATGTATATTTACATAAATATATAGATATACAAACACATACATACCTAGTTTATCAAGGCTCTCTCTTCAGCAGTTTGTCAGAATGCTGATTTCAATAGAAACCTAGAATAAAGTACAGAGAGAAAAAAACTTTTTATGTAGTATTTTCTATTTTTACAATAGACATATACCACCTCTTGTTTTTAAACACACCATTTTCATGGTTACATATTTAACTTACCATATCCCTGTTGATAACATTAGCCACACAGCATCTTTATTAAGTATTATGACTAGTAACAGAAATGGCCATTATGATTGCTATTGTATTTTTATCATCCCTTTGAAATATATTTAATGTTTTCTTTTCTTTCAATAGCTTTTACATTTATACAACCTGTATAACTTGGGGGAGGCACACATGCCCCAGCACCTGTGTAGAGTCAGTTCTTCTTTACCTTCATGTGGGATCTGGGGATTGAACTCCTACCATCAGGCTCACGTGGCAAAAGCCTTTACCTGAACAATCCTGCCAGCACTTTTTCCGGTTTTTAGGTTTCATGTCATTTCATAATATTCCCCTTTATTTTTGGCTTTCACCAATTTAATTTCTTTTTTTTTTTTTTTTTTAAAAAGGAGGAGGAGGAGGAGGAGGAGGAGAGAGGAGGGAGGAGGGAGGAGAGAGGAGAGAGGAGAGAGGAGAGAGGAGAGAGGAGAGAGAAGAAGAACTAGAGATTCTTTTTTTCTTTTTCTTTTTTTTTTTTTTTTGGTTTTTCGAGACAGGGTTTCTCTGTGTAGCCCTGGCTGTCCTGGAACTCACTCTGTAGACCAGGCTGGCCTTGAACTCAGAAATCCACCTGTCTCTGCCTCCCAAGTGCTGGGATTACAGGCGTGCGCCACCACCGCCCAGCCCAATTTAATTTCTAATAAGTCAAGCCTATAATGTAGCAAGAGAAAAATAAGTCTTAAATATTTTGTTACAGAGAAATCTGCTTGGGGTTGAGAGATGGCTCAGTGATTCAGAGCGTTTACTACTCTTGCTGAGGACCCAAGTTCAGTCCCCAAAAGGTTGTTCACAACAGTCTGGAATTCCAGCTTCAGGAGTATGACACCTCTGGCTCTCTTTGATAGCTGCACTCAAAGGAGACACACAAACACAAACACACTCACATATACATGATTAAAAACTAATAATATAAGTAAGCCTTAAAAATTAATGTATATGACAGGTGGTGGTGGCACATGCCTTTGATCCCAGCATTCAGGAGACAGAGGCAGGCAGATCTCTGTGATTTTGAGGCCAGCCTGGTCTAGCCAACGCTACACAGAGAAACCCTGTCTGGGGGACATATGTATGTATGTATGTATGTATATAATGTATATATTTTAAAAAAAATTTTAGGCCTGCTTAACATTATACATCTAAGTACAAATTCATGGACTGGAGAGATGGTTTATCCATCTTTCCATCTTTCAGCAGTGGTTTCTGTTCTTGCAGAGGACCAGCCAGAGATCAGTTACCTGGGTCCCTGTAGGCTCACAACTGCCTATAACTACAGTATTGGTCTGATGCCTCTTCAAGTCACTGGAGGTGCCTACACACAGGCACACTCACACATGAATACACATATAAATAAATGTCATCAAATTTAAAACAAACTGGCAGGACCAGGCATAGTGGACTGTGTCTGGAATTTCAGCCAAAAAAATAATTGAATTTAAAGAAAATATCAAGACCCTATTTAGTTGGTTCCTTATTGAGAAGTGCTGACCCATGCAAATATTTACAGCTGTCTTTTAAAAGTCCTCTTCTGTTCCTTAAAATAGAACTTAAATCCTATGAGATCGATACTAACATTAATCCCATTTTACAGACAAAGAAACTGAGGTTTGTTGTATAGCCAAGATTTAAGGGCCAGCTCCAGGATTTATCTTCTTAATTAATAAGAAATTAAAATTGTAACTTCTGCCCCAGGCACTTAAGCCTGTAATGTCAAAACTCTTAAGACTAAAGCAAGAGGACTAGTACAAGTTTAGATCAGCCACACAGTAAGTTCTAGATCAGCCTGTGCTACAGTGTGAGGCTCTGTACCAAACAAACAAGAGTTTAATTTATATGACTATGAATTAGCAGGATGTGACTGCCAAAGAAACAATTCTGTTTTAAAACCAATGTAAAGCCGGGAATAGAGAAGGCTAACATCTGTAACCCTGGGGTAGAAGAACAGGGGAAGAGAAAAAGGTGCATACCGGGCAAGCCAGCCAGTCTAGCCCATCAATGAGCCCACAGTTCTAGAAGAGACAGTCTCAAGTACACAGGGTGAAGAGCCCTGGAGAAAGAGCTTTGACCTCTAGCCTCCATATGTGTACACGTTCACAGATAATGGTATCTGCATGTGCACATTCACACACAGAGAGAATAGTATATCCCATGAATAAGTCATTGGCCCTGTGAAGAATTTCAGATGAACACAGTGACAGGAAAAAATCCTTTAGAAAAGTTTAGTGATGAAAAATATTTTGTTGGCCATGTGATGAGGCACATGCCTTAAATTCTAGCACTAGGGAGGCAGAGCAGGCAGAGCTCTGTGAGTTTGAGGCCAGCCTGATCTACATAGTGAGTTCCAGGACAGCCAGCACTATATAGTGAGACCCAGTCTTGGGGAGACCAAGGGAGTATTCTGTCAAAAGAAGAAAAGACCTGCCAGGTGTCAAGTGCACACATGTGACCCAGAAGGCTGAGTGAGGCAAGAAGACTGCCGTAAACTTAAGGACAGCCTGAGCTACCTAGTGGGTAAAAGGCCAGCCTGGGCTATACAACAAAACCCATAGAAGAGAAGGGAAAAAGAAAAGGAGAAACAATGGACTCTAAGCATCTTGAAATATCCGAAACGAGAACATACCATGAAAATACAATTTCTAGTCCAGTAAAAAGAAATAACTTATAAATTGAGGCCAGCCTGGGCTACATAGTGAATTTAAGGCTAACCTAGAATATAGCAAGAACCTGTCTCAAAATGCAGACACAGAAAAATTAGTTATTCAAATAATTTTGTCTCAGAAACTATGGAAGTGAACTCTCTAAAAGTGTAAAAATAAAAGTTATCTTGCAAACCATTTCTAAGGGGTCATTAGTCTTCACAAATCCTGTTATCACAGGAGTCAAGTTTTAAAAAGCTAGTATGTTTAGTTTGGGGGGATGTTTGGGGGGGTTGCTTGTTTGTCTGGAGGAAGGCACAGGTGTAGAGCAGTCAGAGAATAGTTTTCAGGATGAGTTCTCTCCATCCACCCTGAGGGTCCCTGAGACAGAGAAAAGGTCAGCGGGCTTGGTGACAAGCACTTTTACCCACTGAACCATCTCACCAGCCCCAATTTCTTCTGAGATCCATTATGACACATACCAAAGTGAGTCTAAAAGAGAAGAAAAGAGTGCACAGTCTATTTCAAGGTGGGGTTTTGTTGTAGCTATTTTATATTTCTGGTGCTGGGTATCCAATCTAGGGTTTAGGTAATTACCCTACCACTGAGCTATGCCCCAGACCTCAAGCTGTATTGGGAGCTCAAAGTTCAGTTAAGAATTTTGGCTGCAAGGGTAAAACTTGCACATGCCAGGGACTACACATTCACAAGGGTGGAGTGCAAGGAATTATGGTCACAAAATAGCAATATGAGTAATTAAAACTATTTTACTTCTTAAATAAACAGCCTGTAATTAAGGCAACTGATGAGTTTAATAAGTCTTAGGACTTTCTTAACAAATGTTAAGTGTTGCATTCCTGAATCTGCAACCACATGCCAGCACTGTGCTCCCGACACCATGTCTGCCATAACACTAAACTAGTTCCAGGCACAAGATGTTCTAAAACTAAGTCCTCTCAGAGCCAGTACACAAGTGTGACAGAACCTGGGGTCTGGCCATCGCCTTTATCTCCTGACGAAATTTGAGCATGGACACTTACATGAATTCTAGCAATGGCATAGTGGTATAGCTTTAGTAAATCGTAAGATAACCGGTGACTGGAAAAGGCAAGACGCAAAGCAAACATTTTATACTCAACTTTGAATTCTGCCACACTGAAAAACAGACAAATAACTTAAACCATATTGCCTAGATACAAGGCCTTCAAACCATTAGGAGAACAGAAAACAAATGACCCAGGAAAAGTCTAAGTCAAATGAAACGCAGCAGCTGACTCTGTAGAGGGGTGTTTTCTAACCTGTGGGTCATGACCCCTCTAGAGGGAATCGTTCTTGCCTAAGATCATCAGAAAAACCTAAATATTTACATTACAATTCGGAACAGTAGCAAAATTACATTTATGAAGTAGCAACGAAATATTTTCATGGTTGGGGATAAATATTTTTATGGTTGGGGATCAGGTCACAGCATTAGGAAGGTTGAGAACCACTGACCTAGATGAGGCAGGGTAAGGAGCTGGAGCCCCTTGAGATGGAAGGAGGCAAGACAGAAGTATTCAAAGGCTCAAAGTCACTTTCAACGACTGCTATGGAAAAAGCCTGAACCTGTTAACTGTTTCTGGCTGTGGGATTTCTGTTGTTGCAGTGTTGAGAATCAAACCAGGGCTTCAGGAATGCTAAGTAAACATTTTGCCAGGTCAGGCTACAAGCCTGATAACTATTTCAACCGAAACATGGGGTCCAGCATCCAGGGTTAAGTTATGCATTTAGAAGGGAGCTTTGTTTCAAGTGCATTCCCCAGATTAGACGTTTTCCCTCTCACAACACCCTCCCCCTCCTCGAATAGGCAGATCTGGTTCACAGATGAATAAACTGAGCCCACACAAAGCACCAGAACACGGGCGAGTGTCCACGCACGTCACTGTGCCATCTCTCGGCGGGAGCCCACAGACACTTTCCCGCTGCTCTGTGCACAGCAACCACGGCCTTGTGCAGAATTCCTCCTAGAACTCGGGCCGAGAAAAGTAACCTCTACTTGAAAGGAAAAGTTCCCTTGGGGAACCTGGGGGTCTTCCAGATAGGTAGAGCTTTGGAACTCTGAAAAGCACCCCGCAGAAACAGACCGGAGGTTTGTGGAACACGAAGCGAGGAGGAAAAGTCAGAAGACCTGAGAAGCTGAAGTCAATCAGCCCTTGCCCTTCCTGATCCCAGATGATGGCGAGCCCGCGGGCTCGGGAGCCTCAGCAGGTATTCGGGGGTAGCTTGGCCTGGCTGCAGAGAAACCTTGAGGACAAGCTGCGACTCCTGGGACAGGGCAGGGAGGGCCGGCCGGAGGGGGCCACGCCCGGTCCAAAGGCCCCTGGCATGCAGGCCCGCGCCCTTTCCCGGACCTTACCGCAGCTCTGTGTAGAGGGGCTGGCGGTCCACACAGCCCTCGGCCCACTCCCGGCGAGACGCTTCTTCTTCGCGAGCCGCCGCTCCTCAGGCAGAGCCAGGTCGGGTCGGAGCGAGCTCACGCCCGCGCAGCCGCGGTCTTCGCGCGCGTCGGAAGCCTGCAGTGCAGGAAGGGTCAAGGCGCGCCCCGCGTGCCAGGCAGCGACGGCCGCACTGCCCAAGCGCGCCCGACGCCGTCCGCCCTCAGCGACTCGGCCGCGGCGCCGCTTCCCCCGCGCTCGCTTTGGCGGCGGAGCAGCACGGTGCACGCCGATTGGCTCTCGGGTGGTGTGACGCGCGCCGACGCTTTTCACGGATTGGCCAGACCGCGGTGCGTGTAGGGAGTAAACAAAACCCGCCCCCAGGCTCGCCAGCAGGGCCAGAGGCGGAGGTGGGCGGCGGGCTTGCGGGAGCCTGCTCTGGCCCTTTGACCTCCAAAGCCGCTCTCTCCGCTAGGGGCCGCCCTGGGACTCTGCCTGGGGCTGGTCTCCTGCCACCTAGAGGGTGGCCAGGCAGCCTGAACTCTGAGTGTCTAAGCTCGCCCTTCTCCCTTCACCACTTCAGCCCCTCACCTCACCTCCACCCACCACCTCACTTCTCTCAGCTCTGGAGTGTGCTTCTCTTTTCCATCCCATCTCTCTTAAGAAGACCGGAACTAGGGTCCTTACATCTGGGCCTTGGACCTTTGATGGGTCACTACTCCAGGAACACACGGAAGGCAGATGGATAATAGTGACCCTGAGGCCACCCGTGGACCACTGAGGAGGTGGTCATGCTTCAATTCCTGGAAAAGTGTAGCTATAAATTAAGGCCAGATGCCCTCAATCTCATCGAAGTTGAACAGAAAAAGTTGGAGGCACACACTCTCAAATACCCGATCATTTATTAAGTTATTCAGGTTGGCTTAGTGGCTCATGTCTTTAATCTCAGCACTCCAGATGCAGACACTAGCAAATCTCTGAGTCTGAGGTCAACTTAGTCAACATAGTGAGTTCTGAGCCAGCCAGGGCTAGACACTTAGACCCTGCTCCCCACCCCTCCAAAAAAAAAAAAAGTGTTTTCCCCTTTCAAGTGCATGGATCCTGTATGAGCCATAGCTACTGTGGAAGTTTGGAAGTAAGATAAGAGAATCCAACTTTAAAATGATACTTTGATCCTTTTCATTTTAATTTCTTCATAGCGCTATGAGCCAAATACTATTGAAGCATGACCACCTCCTCAGTGGTCCACGGGTGGCCTCAGGGTCACTGTTATCCATCTGCCTTCCGGGTGTTCCTGGAGTAGTGACCCATCAAAGGTCCAAGGCCCAGATGTAAGGACCCTAGTTCCGGTCTTCTTAAGAGAGATGGGATGGAAAAGAGAAGCACACTCCAGAGCTGAGAGAAGTGAGGTGGTGGGTGGAGGTGAGGTGAGGGGCTGAAGTGGTGAAGGGAGAAGGGCGAGCTTAGACACTCAGAGTTCAGGCTGCCTGGCCACCCTCTAGGTGGCAGAGGACCAGCGGCAGTGATTCTAGGGACGTGTACAAAAGGGACAAAAATTCTTGGCATTATTGACTTTATGTTCTAATAAGATGGGAAAGATGGTCCTCAAAATACTGAAAAAATAATGTCAGTCATGTGATAAGGGAAAACAACTCTGAGAGGGGGCTATTGATGTAAGTATCAGCCCAGGGTGGCAGCAAGGGCTTCTGGGAGGCAGAGTCAGGCGTCTCTTGTAGACCAATTGGGTCTACAAGAGACCCCTTCTCAAAAACAGATAGATAGATAGATAGATAGATAGATAGATAGATAGATAGATAGATAGATAGGGATGACAATGAGATCTTTTCTCAAAAAATGATGATATACATAGGTAGAAACAAAGACAGACAGACAGACAGACAGACAACAATAAATGCATAAAGAGGTAAGGGAGCCAAGAGAGCAAACACCTTTGGCTTCCTCTTTGGAAGATTTGGAGACTATTTCTGCACCATTGTTATGGGTAAAATCTTCTCCAAATTCTAAACATACAGTAATCCAAGTGACTAAAATCCAAAAACCTCAATCGAATGATTGCCTTTTCCACTGACAAGTGAATGTGGATTTATTTAATTTCCACAAAAAAATGATGAAGTTGTGTGTTCAGTTTATTTAACAAATACTTACCATGCCAGGTAATCGTGATGCACCCCTTTAGGCCCAGCTCTTGGGAAGCAGAGGTAGGCAGATCTCTGAGTTTCTGGCCAGCCTGGCCTACAAAGCGGGTTTCAGGACAGCCAAGGCTACACAGAGAAACCCTGTCTCAAAACAAACAAACAAACAAACAAACAAATTAGCAATCCTGGTAGTAAAGATAAAAAAGATTATCATGACAGAAATAAATCTTTACTTCAATCCAGTAGAGAAAAATTATGAAGCATCTCAACATGCGTGACCACATGAGAAGGAGACACATTAAATGTTTTGGGCTAATGTGAAGAAAGGAGTGCCCAGAATCTCATTACCTGTCAACTAAACACTACATGCCCACGCTAGAACAGATCAAATGCAAAAGTGTAGCGATCAAAGGACAACTTGCAGGAATTGGTTCTTGTCTTCTACTATGTGGGTCTTGGGGAATAACAATGTTTTCAGGCTTGGCAACCAATGGCTTTACCCTCTGATCCATCTTGCCATATTCCCTTAACCTCTTTCTAAGGTGAAAACTTTAATTTGAACCAGTCACAGTGGTACATTAAGTACTTTAGTCCCAGCACTAGGGAAGTAAGGGAAATAGATCTCTGTGAGGTCCAGGCCAGTATGGTCTATATCATACAGATTACTAGACAAGCCAGGGCTGCCTAAGGAATCATGTCTCAAAAAGCCAAAACAAAACAAACCAAACAGAAAAGCAAACCCTAAGGTGAACAATACGAAGTTACTATATGGTTTGATGTGCTCTTGTGAGAGTTAGCACGAGACACACAGTGCACACAGTGTTCAATAAGTAAGCCAGTTATCATTCCTTAGCATTGCCTTGGAAAGAGATCACTTAAAACTCCACACTCCACAATATCTTCCAAGGCCCCAAAGTAAAATACACAGTAGAAGGCTTCAAATTTTCCATACACTAGTTTGATCTAGCTGTGAATTTCCATGACCTAATGAGGGTTTGCTTTAGAAGACAAGTAAACACTGGTTTCACAGCAGGCCAAAAATTCAGAACAAGGAAGAACAGCTTGGGTTTGAAGTGAGATACTGAAAGTTCTCTGGTACAGAATAAATTGAGTTGCTCCAGGGATGAAAATTCATGTAAATCAATTTTTCATTCCCACTCGTAGTTTCAATTTAGCAATGTGCACAAGAGCTTTCTGTCTCCCTTCTCATCCCCCCATTAAGGCATCTTGTTTCCTTTGAAAAAGAAATTAAGTCTTTACCATTGCCAATGCCAGAGAACAGATGTCTGAACTTCGATGGCATATTTATTGACTCAGCACTTATTAGGCACTTACTGTGTGCCAAACACTGTGCACAGACCGGAAACACAAACATAAATGTCTCAAGAGCTGTTAAGTGGTATCTCATGAGCTTACAACAATCCGCCAGCCAGCCTAGTTAATTGTATATCTTATCAGCTAAACTTAACTTACTCCAAAAAGGAATCTCTTGACTGACCACTTCAGCTCTTTCCCCATAAAAGTTTGTCTGCCTTACTAACATTTATTAAAGCTGCAGGAATTCACTTGGATCTGTAGCCCGCTGGGCTCTAAGTGCCTTCAGAGTCGGAGCGATTCATTTTCAGTGCCATTATTGATAAATATACAGCAGCTAGCCAGTAGTATATTCAGAAAGAGAAGCAAAGTATAATGAACAAGGCCTGATAGTGCACACCTGTTACCCTAGGTACACAGAAGACTGAGACTGGAGAATTGTGAGTTCAAGGCTAACCTGGGGTATAGAGTGAATTTAAAAACAACCCTAGAGATTTAGAAACTCTATTTGAAACTGATATTTAAAAAAAAAAAAAAGATGTGCATGTACCTCATTGAGAGAGCGTTTGCTTGTGCCATAAAGACCCTGGGTTCAGTCAGATGGGGACACATACAGATAAAGCCACCCTTGGTCAGACATGGTGGTTTCGGCCCGTACTAGTGAAGCAGAGGTGAAAAAAAACAGGAATTCAAAGCCAGCCTCTATTACATAGTGTGTTCAAGGCCAGCCTCTATTACATAGTGAGTTCAAGGCCAGCCTCTA